ATCCATTATTCCTGGTTCTTACCTGTTCAACACCCTCAGTACTTTATAATGTCTCCCTTGTTTATGCCCGTCATCCACTTATACACTTCAATGATATCTCCCCTCATTCTACGCCTCTCCAGAGAGTGGAGATTTAAGGCTTTAAGTCTATCTTCATACGGGAGGTTCCTTACACAGTAAATCATTTTAGTCATTTTCTCTGTATGTTCTCTAATGAGTCTATGTCCATCCTGTGTAAGGGGACCAAAACTGAGCAGCTAATCTAAATGAGGCCTCACTAGTGATGTTTAGACCCTGTAAAATAACTTTTGGACTTCTGTTACTTATACTTCTTGAGATAAATCCAAGTAATCTGTTGGCCTTGTTGCGCACACTGAGGCATGCTGTCTTGGCTTTAGATTTCTGCTTACCATGACTCCAAGTCTTTTTCACATTCTTTTATGCCCAAAGCTCTACTTCACCTAGATTATAGCTTCGAGGGCTATTTTCATTACCAAGGGAAATTTACCTTACACTTATCCACATTAAACTTCATCTGCCATTTCTCAGACCAAGACATTAATTTGTTCAAATCGTCCTGGAGTTCATTGGATTATCCTCCTCAGAGTGAATTTTACGGCCTATCTTTGTATCATCAGAAAAACTTATCATGTCACTAGTAATCCCTTCACAAGGTCATTAATGTAATTATGAACAAGGAGGGCCAAAAAACTGATCCTTGTGGAACGCCACTAGTGACTAATCCCCATTCAGATTTCACTCCATTAATGGTAACTCTCTGCTTTCTATTGGTAAGCCATGCCTCAATCCATGCTGAACTTTACCTCCTATACCATGAGCTCCCACTTTTCTTAAGAGTCTCTTGTGGGGTTTACTCTGTCGAAGGCTTTACTAAAATCCAAATAAACAATATCATATTCCTTATTACTGTCAACTGCCTCAAATGTTCTATTGAAAAAACGTCAGTAAGTTGTCAGGCAGGAACGACCTCTCGTGAATCCATGTGAGATTCATTTATCAAGTTATGCTCTTCAAGGTGACTTTGATAATGTCAGCTATAATTGATTCAAATAACTTGCCCACTATAGATGTCAGGCTTATTGGACGGTAATTTGAAGGAGTGGGACTTATCCCCTGATTTGAATATGGGAAACCCACATTAGCCATTTTCCCACAACTCTTGGCACAACACTGGAAAGGGATGGACGCATTGAATACACTCGTTAATGGTGACTAAGCTCCATCTTGCATTCCTTAAGTACCTCTGAAAACAACTCATCGGTCCCGGGGACTTATTTTGTTTCGTTTGTCTATCTCTTTATAACCATGTCCCTCTTGACAGTAATATTAGTTAACTTAAATTAATCAGGAACCAAATAATTGTTAATTACGGGAATCTCATTTACATCTTCCTGTGGGAAAAACTGACAAAAAAATAGTCATTAAATAAGGAACACATTTCCAGTTTATTATCCGTCAGCTGTCCATTCCCAGATTTCAGAGGTCCTACTTTTTCCTTCACCTTCGTCCTATACACTTGAAAGAACCCCTTTGGATTAGTCTTTGATTCATTAGCAACTCTAAAATTTTATAGTCACGTTTAGCCTTTCTAATCGCCTTTTTTACTTCTCTTTTAAGCTGAACATATTGGTCAGTAAGGTTAACCTCTCCTCTTCTGATGCGCCCATAAAATTTCCCCCTTTTCTCCCCTAATAGATGCTTTGCCTCCTGTTAACCCCCTTTTGGGGTCGTTATTATTAGACCTAATTCTCTCTTGGGAATGTATATTTCTCTGGGCACTGTGTACATTATTAAGAAAACAATCATAAAAGCAGATTCCTTCATATTCTAAGTATGATTATCACCAATAAAATCATTAGCTAGATACCCCAATCAAGATAGACAGATGTTCCCTAAGTCCATTATAATCGGCAGAACGAAAATCAGGATTTTTACTGTATTATCATTATTCTTGCATTCCAATTAATGCTAAAGGTGATGGATTTGTGATCACTTGCGCCAAGCTCTTCAGTGATCTCCAGATTATTCACGGTGTTTCCTTATTTGACAAGACTAGGTCTAGCAAATTATTACCCCCGGTAGGCTCAGTTACACTCTGTTTCAGAAAACAGTCCTGAACTGTTTCCATGAAGTCATGGACTCTAGATTACCTGGTCAAAGAATTCCGTCAATTTGGCTAAAGTTAAAGTCCCCTTACTATGACTACGTTACTGTGTCAGAAGCCCTAACAATTTCGTCCCAAAGAAGTCTCCCTCTATCGTGATCCAAGCCTGGAGGTCGGTATATTACACCTAGAGTTAGTTTTTCTTGACCCTCCACGAACTCTACCCAAACAGACTCTGTTACTGCTCCATCTATTTTTATACCTGTTTTTATGCAACAATTAATATTTTCTCGAACATACAATGCAACTCCTCCCCCCTTCCCATTACATCTATCCACATTGAACAACTTAAATCCTGAATATTACACTCAGCAGTCATATCCCGACTCTTTAAATCATACCACGTTTCAGTTAATGCAATGATATCAAAGTTCCCAGCACATGCTACCAAACGTAGTTCATTAATTTTATTTCTTGCACTTCGACTGTTAGCATAAAATACCATCATATGTTTTTTCTTCTGCACCATTTTTCCTATTCATCTTTGTTTTTACACAATTTCTGAAATTATCATTACCCAGAGTTACTCCATGACATTTTACCATTAAGATTCTTAATATCAGAGCATATAAGTCAATATATCCATACTCATTATTAATCATTTCTAAACCCATACTCTAACTAATCCTAGTTTAAAGTCCTAACAACCCCCTCAACTGAGTTAGCAAGAAAACCCACACCTGCCCTGGATAAGTGAACCCCATCCCTGGCATACATGTCATTTCGGCCATAGAAGTTGTCCCAGTTGTCAATGAATGGTACTGCATTATCCTTACAGTGTTTATCCAGCCAACAATTAATACCAATTGCTCTGGACAACCATTCATTACCAACACCTCTTCTTGGCAAAATGCCACATATAACAGGGCGCCCCCCCCTTCTTCCTAATCATGTCTATAGCTGTCCTGAACTTTCTAACTAAATCCTCACTTCTACGCTTGCCTACATCATTGCCTCCAGCACTGAGGCAAATAATAGGATTGATCCCATTACCGTTCATGATGTTGTCAAGCCGGCTAACAATGTCCTCCATCCCAGCCCCAGGAAAGCATACCTTTGTCTCCTACTCCTGTCCTTCAAGCAGAATGCCCTATCCATGTATCTAACCTGGCTATCCCCAACAACAACAATATTCTTACCTTCCTTGTTGTCGTTCGTCGTGGACGATCCCAGTAGTAGACTCACATTCGTCGGGTAGCACCGAGAATGCGTTGGAGGTTTCCACGGGAGTTTCCACAGCAGTCTCTTTCTTCTTCATCGTTTCTGGCTTTCCATTCGTCTTCTTGATCGTCAACTTCGTCGTCCCCTGCTGTCCAACCACTGACCACGATCCCTTCTTGACCTGAGGACTCGAAACAGGAGGACTACTACGAATCCTCTTGTTTTCCTCGGTCAGTCGCCGTATCTCCATCTTCGCTGCTCTCAATTCTTCCTTAAGTTGCTGGTAAAGTTGCTCGATGGAGGGCATCTTGGTTCAGTCCACGGGAGCAAACAAGACACTTCTTCACAGAGTTAAGTATAGGTCAGCACTCAAAGTACAGGTCACCACTCAAGAGCACACAAACAGGTCTTCACAGAGCTAAGTACACGTCACCACTGTAAGCTTTGCGGGTTATTTGTGTATCGTTCCAGTCACGGTATTGTGCCTTTTTTTGTTATTTATAATAACTAGAACAAAGTATACTACAGACTCTGGTCATACAATAGAGCGGAAAAATAATATAAGGGACCTGGGAGTAGTCGGTTCCTGACCAGCCGGGCTGTGGCTCGTACGTTGGTTTGCGTGCAGCCAGCAGCAACAGCCTGGTTGATCAGGCTCTTGATCCACCAGGAGGCCTGGTCACAGACCGGGCCGCGGGGGCGTTGACCCCCGGAACTCTCTCCAGGTAAACTCCAGTAATGTCTGAGGATCTCACTTTCAAGGATCACAACAGTGCCACGATCACAAGTGCAAAAATGGATGGATGGATAATGAGAACGTTCAAAACGAGAGATGCCAAGCCAATAATGATCCTTTTCAAATCACTTGTTCTCTCTAGGCTGGAATACTGCTGTACATTAACATCTCCATTTAAAGCAGGTGAAATTGCAGATCTAGAGAGTGTACAGAGATCCTTTACTGCACGTATAAGTTCTGTCAAGCACCTTAACTACTGGGAACGCTTGGAAGCACTTGACTTGTACTCGTTGGAACGCAGGAGGGAGAGATATATCATAATCTACACTTGGAAAATCCTGGAAGGAATGGTCCCGAATCTGCACACAGAAATCACTCCCTACGAAAGTAAAAGACTGGGCAGGCGATGCAAAATGCCCCCAATTAAAAGTAGGGGCGCCATTGGTACACTAAGAGAAAACACCACAAGTGTCCGGGGCCCAAGACTGTTTAAAAGCCTCCCATCAAGCATTAGGGGAATTGCCAATAAACTCCTGGCTGCTTTCAAGAGAGAGCTGGACAGCTACCTAAAGTCAGTGCCGGATCAACCGGGCTGTGGCTCGTACGTTGGACTGCGTACGGCCAGCAGTAACAGCCTGGTTGATCAGGTCCTGATCCACCGGGAGGCCTAGTCATGAACCGGGCCGCGGGGGCGTTGATCCCCGGAATACCCTCCAGGTAACCTCCAGGTAAGGTTGCAACCCCCCCCCCTTACCTGGCTACGCTACTTTCATTCTATCATTCTCGCTCCAGCACTCTCACTTTACCACTCTCACTCTCTACCTCTCACCCTACCCCACACTACCTCTCCCGCTATCTCACAATATATGTTTCAAAAGTTTAGTGTAATATCTGTATGTGTTAACGTATTTTTGATAGTGTACAACTACAGCCTTAATGAGACGAGTAGAGTGGACAGGTCAAGCTGTCAACCACGCTGTCAATATCCGTATTCTAAGACTCTTAAACATCCTACCAACACATACAGGTATAAAAAAAATTGACGGCATAAGACGGAAATTTTTCAGTCTACACCTGGTGTAGACCTGGTGGTCTACCTGAACCTTAGTGCGAGTTACGAGAATAACTCTGAATAAGTCACAGGTATGTCACTCCTCCACTACGAGGTACAATAACAGTTAATGGAGCGGCTTAAATCAAGAACAGTGGTGGAGGCCGGAGACGTGTGAAGGCAGCATAATGGAGTGGTGGCAGGTCCCTGAGTCTGGCTAACTGCTGGCTGGGGCAGCCCGCCACACCCTCCCTCACTAACCTTTTCCACAGAATTTGTTGTTCCGTGTCAGGCGATGCTGGTGAGGTGTGTCTACCTCTCTAAGTGATCACCGTCTATATACACACCACCACCATTACCACCACTGCTTCTACTACACCTATAACTCACTACTACCACCACTGTTGTCACCACTACTATCCACTCTCAGAGATCTTCACAAAGTATTGTTGGTATTATCTCCCACTACTGCTTCCATTATGTACCATAGTTATCTTTAAAATTGGATTATTTGTTTTCTAAATAGAACATTTTTGTTTATCTTAACCACAAGAACAAATCTGTACAACTATTCAGGAAAATTGTTAGATTTACCTCCGGTCATAACAGTACACAGACCAGCGTACACTTTACAACAGTTTAAGCAATAACAATGTGTCCCTGAGTTATATAACCAGCAGAACAAGAGCACAGTGGCCGAGCAGTAAGTAGGAAGAAGTGAAGGAGATCATATAACAAGGACACGAACTGAAAAAAACTGCAAATATCTAGCAGTTACTACCCTCCAGGTACTATCCTCCAGGTACCTCCCATCCAGGTACTTCCCATCCAGGTACTTCCCTCCAGGTACTTCCCTCCAGGTGCTCCCCTACGGGCCCCCCCTCCAGGTGCTACCCTCCAGGCGGGCAGGACGTCCCGAGTAAAACTATGGTAAGTCTGTACGGTGATTACTTTCGCTGGTGGTGAAAACTGTATTATGAGGGTTATGAAGGGTTAACTGCGAGGGCGACGACCCCCCAGAAGCATCAGGGAAGTAGACAGGGATTTAAACAGGGAGGTAGACGGGTAGGCAGACAGGGAGGCAGACAGGTAGACAAGGAAGTAGACAGGGATGGAAGGGGAATCAGAGTTGCTCGGTATGATTATCAATAAAAATCTAGATGAATTTTATCTAGAGATTTGCGATCACACAGCCGGTTAGAGAAGGATATACAAGTATATGAGAGTACAACTTTGCCTCCGTGTACTTGGATAATGTACTCTTCGGAGCGAAAAAGAGATATTTTCATAGTCTAAACATAGAAGATAATTGAAGGTTTATTCCTAAATAAACACACTACCATAACAACGTACTAGAGTGAGAGATATGGGAGAGGAAGTATAAAATGGAGGCAGTGAGGCAGGGACGCCATGAGCACAGTAAGATAACACTGTGTCAACACCTTTGATCCTAGACTGTTAATTGAACCTTCTCCCAGCAGATATCAGAAATATTGGCACAACAATTGAAGTTTTTAAGAGGAAATTGGATCATTGTGTCCACCAAGTGCCAGATCAACGAGGCTGTGACTGCTTTGTGGGCCATAGGGACGGAAACAACAGTCTGGTTGACCAAGCAACCAACAGAAAAGATGGCGCCAGGCTGTTGACAGGTACACTGGTACATCACACGTACACTGGTACATCACACGTACACTGGTACATCACACGTACACTGGTACATCACACGTACACTGGTACATCACACGTACACTGGTACATCACACGTACACTGGTACATCACACGTACACTGGTACATCACACGTACACTGGTACTACACACGTACACTGGTACATCACACGTACACTGGTACATCACACGTACACTGGTACATCACACGTACACTGGTACATCACAAGTGCATTGATACATCACAAGCACCAGATGGACCAGGTTGTGATGGCTTCGTTCGCCTGCAGGCCGCTGGCAACAACAGCCTGGTACACAAGGCTGTCAACAGTGAGATTTGAAATCCCTTGAAACCGCTTACATCATCATTGAAACTATTTGATGCCATACCTTTGATGAGTTTCGAGAGTCTTACTACTCTCGGAGCCCGGCCACGGGCCAGGCTTCTCTGGTATTGCTGGAGGTCCGCTGTCCCACATATCCACCACAGCCTGGTTGATCTGGCACCTGATGAAGATACTTGTTCGGTTTCCTCTTGAATACTTCTACACTTGTTCCAGCAGTGTTTTGATATCCTCTGGTAAGATGTTGAATAATCTATTGTAACTTGTAACACACTCTCCGTTCCTTCCACACACACTGTGTGGAATTTTGGTTGAGATGAGTACAATAAAATTAATGAAGTAAATGTGGATTAGTGCTCATCTTTGTTGATGACACCTCAAAACACCTGCAGCTTCTACCATGGTTTTCCTTGCACGTTTGCTGTCTTTTCACTCACTATGGCTGAAATGAAGGTGATTATAACCAGGGTTAATACTCGCCCTCCTGACATGTATTATCAGCATGTCAGGTATATCTCCTGGAAGTCGTGGGTGACCCGTACCAGTGTTTTAGGCTTAGGTCCGTCCATCATGGCCTCAAATGATTGTTCATTTGGTTGGCTCATTGTAACGGGAGCCGGTAACGTTACAACGTCAAAGAGAACGCTATTGATGTCTTGACATTTGTAGTAACATTAGACGTCTCCACTCCTGGCACACGTCGATTGATAACTGTCACTCACTAATAGTCTGTAATAATTTACGGCAGGAAGTGTCTTCAGTCTTCATGGAGATTGTCAGTGCACGACTCGGGATTCGTATGCACAAGAATACGACCACGAATGTTTCTGCGTTCACTGTGGTGTGGCCCGGCCGGGTAGCACCCGGCCACTTCGTCATATGTTCACTGGGCGAAATCAACTGCAGTTCCCCTGTTGCAATCTCCACCCTCCTTTTATGGATGGTTATCTGCTGACACAGTGTCTACAGGCATAGATGCCGGCTTTGGTGACTCATTTGAATCAAAAGGAGCAGATTCCTTGAGTCTAAGGTGCTGGGTAAGACGAATACCACTAGCTATATCAGCAGTTTAGAAGCAAATTATTTTAAATTTGTAATAGTCTGAGGAAACAGACGTTCCCTCAGACAAACACGAGTGTGTAAAATCTTGCAGAGCCTCACATAAGAGTGTAAATTCTACTGGACACGTTTGAATATTGGGTTTCGATCTTATCTGTTCTGTATCTTCAACCCCATTAGAAGGTGTCTGATTTTGCAGGGCTAGAAAGACCTGTTAAGATAAATGATATGTTTCAGTTTAAAACAGCTGAGAG